CTCTCTCTCTCTCTCTCTCTCTCTCTCTCTCTCTCTCTCACACACACACACACACACACACACACACACACACACACACACACACACATACACAAGTTTTGGAAAGGATACCCCCCGAAAGAGAGGAGGGTGCACAGCAGGCTCAACGGTGGATGGTTCAGCCCCCCGACATACTTAAACCCAGGTAAGTGGGCCTACATGATGAATTGAAAAAAAAGGGGGTCCCTGAAAGTATGAATAACAAAGAGTAGCCCGGTTAACTGGATGTGTGTCGCTGGGCCTCGAGCCTGGGTCATATGGATCATATAGGCTTGTACCCACAGGCCCGCCAGTCGGTATCTCCCGGATTCTGTCCGTATACGAAGCTGTCCTCCACTGGGATAGTGGGTGCCACCCGGCACGAAACGACACCGTATAGGCGTAAAGACATGTACCCACAGGCCCACCCATCGGTATCCCCAGATGAGTAACAATTAGCTGTCTGTGTATAATTTGGTCTTCCACTAGGATAGTGGATGCTACCGGGCACTATACGATGTCTGCACTACTGGGAAAAAGAATAATCTCCCCTGGATTCCGGGAACTCCTCGACAGTCTCCAGAATGTAGCCGAACAGGGGTAGGTCTAGGTTCCCTTGGAATTTTGAAAATTTTGAAAATTTTGAAAATTTTGCTCAATCAGTACGCGCCAACCTTACGAATTCTACCGGAAGAGGGGAATGTTTGGGTACTCCCGCGCGCACCTGTCTCTTCGCAGCCTTGTCCTTTGGTCCTACTGTATTCCCTTCCTTTTCCTTTTGTTTTTGTCTTTTCAATTTTTATCTCTACTTTTCTTGCACAATTTCTATACTACCACGAGTATATATAGTAGCGCTATTCCCGGATGTAACACGCGTCGGTTGTGCTACTTTCCTAAGTAAGACTTCTGAGTGAGTCTTGTGCATGTTGGATTGGCCCCCTAAGTGTAATCACTGAGGATCGGTGCCTTTGAAAGCGGACGGTGGCTTCGGCTATGGCAGACTGGGAGTTCACAACGGGAGCGGAGGAGGACCTGCCATTTACGCCGGAACCTGAGGAGGAGATCGCGGCGGAAGAAGTGGTATACGGTCCTTATTCTCCTCTCTGTGCGTGTGTGAATGAGGTATGGCTGTCTGGTTAGACTGTGTACGGAACTGTTTTGCAAGTTTTTCACCCCTCTGATGAGTCGGTTGAGTGGCAACGGCGAAAAAGCTTTTAGGGGAGCCACACCCCTCCTGCGGCGATGGTTTATTTATAAAGTTCGACCGGGCCCCCAAGTATATTGTTCCCAGACAATCTGCCGAGCCGGATCTCACTGTTTCATATACTAGGCCACTGGTTTTTGAATTGATTGAAAGATCGATGTAACTGCCGGATATATAGCTACGACTATTTTTTGCAACCATTGATGAATGGGCACTTTCGGATCCGGTTGTTATATATCTTTCCCTTTTGTTCTTTTTTCTTCTCTTTCTTTTCTCTCTTTTCTTTTTTCTTGTTTCTGTTTTTTGTTTTTCTCTATTTTGTTTTCGGCATCGTCCTGAGCTCACTTATCAAATCCCGACCCTGTATCGCCTCACTTGATTCCTGATTATCCCGCTCCTCCACCCTGCAAATCTAGCCATCCCCCTTCCCTTGATTTATTATGAATGAATAACATCTTGATTTAGCTTGCCCTCTTCCCGATGATTATTCTGTTACTCCCGGTTGCGTCTCTACCCTGTGTTCTGTTTTTTTACCACTGATTGAGGGAGTCCCTACCTAATGAACTGATCCTCTGGGGATGCAGCTTTGTGCAAGTAATATTGTTGCGAACTGTTGATCTGGCTGATTCTTCCACCCCGAAGTGTTTTTTTAAGCTTTATTTCTTACCTTCGATGGATGAGATCCCTGCCTATTGGAAATGTTACCCCTGGATGCAGCTCTGATCATGAAATAGATACTATTCTCTGTTGTGACCTGTTTGGTTCCTGAATGTCCGAGTTGCGCAGGGTACCAATCAGCTTCCTCCTCCACATCATGGATGGACTATGATTCCTGGTTGATACCTTGTCCAACTCCCTGGTTCTTGATCAAACCCCCGACTATCTTACTCAACAATTTGGTGTGCTTTGCTTGTATAGAGATACTTATTCGTATGGGCGCTGTTGCCATCCTGTCATTTCTGCATTAGGGTACATCGAGTTTGGTGGCCATGGAAACGGTATAATTGGGACATGACCGGACCTGGCGTACCACCACGATTGGTGGAGTGCATGATGGAAACGTCATGGGATTATCGATCACACACACACACACACACACGCGCGCGGGGGTGCTCACCTTCGCACAGTAAGCCAACGAACTCCAACGCAGCAATCCCCGACGCGACGAACTCGAAGGCGGTGAAGTCTAATGCCAACTCCAACCAGCGAACGTGACTAGACTGACTGCTGCACCATACCGGCCACTTCGAATTCGAATTCCTGCCGCCACTGCTGCAAGGGCGTCACGGAAAGATGCATGCCCCTTGTGAGGGCATTTCGAGGATGGACCGACGAAACGGCACCAGCGGTCCAGTAAGGGCATAGTGGAAAGTTACGCCCCATGCTGACAGGGGCCTGCGGAAAACTTCAGAGGCTCCAGGGGCACGACAGGGTAAGTCGGCCGTCAGAGAGGCATGCCGCAAATTAATAGAAACTTCAGCGGCATTTCAAAAACCTTACCAAATAAACAAATGCCGTGAGGATAAGGCAAAGCCACGACGTTTCCCAGGGCAGAACGTAGCACAAATCTCTGCCGTAGGTGTGTGAAGGAGATCTCGACCGTGGATTGGATTCGTCGCATTTCGACCGATCTACCGAATCGCGTCCCAGCGCCGTCGTCGCCATAGCCCCCGCTGTTTTTTTTTTTTTTTTTTTTGCCCCCGCTTTTTCCCCTTCGTATGCATGGCCGCCGATGTGGCCTGAAGTTCGGCGCGCGAACGACAAACAGTCCACATCAGCAAACGTGGGCGAATCGCATCAGCAAACGTGGATGTTTGGGGGGATCGAGTTCAGCCGGCCCTCCCGCCTACCGGCTCTGGCTGGCTGGCGAATCGCATCGCATCGCATCGCATCGGTGTATGTATGGTGGGGGTATTGTTGGCCACATTCGTCGTCCGTTACGGTAGCCCGCCCAAAGAAAGGAAAGTTAACGGAACGCGAATTGTGACTGACTGGCCGTAGTGACCCCGCGCATGCACACGGGCGGACACGCGTCGGGGCGGAGATGGCGGGTGTAGCGGCCGGTTCCGCTGTGGCTTGTCAGGCCGCCAAGTCGACGTTTGTCAATGGCGGAGGCGTTGGGCGATGGTGTGCCTCTGGCGCGGGAGTGCGAGGAGGGGCCGGTATCAGCGGTGATACTTGGCAGCAGCAGGGCTTGGCGATCGTGATTGCGCGCCAAAAGCGGGTCATCCCATATTGGAAGGGAGAGACGTTCTCGCTTCAGACTAGGGAAGCTCGCTGTGCTTCATCGACAGCTACCGGTAGTCCCAGACTGCTCATTCGCTGCAACGCCACGCAGCAGGTACGGGCGACGCTATCTCGTTAGCTACTTCCTCTTCGCCTTTTGTTTTTTTGTTTTGGTCTATGTGTGTGTGTGTGTGTGTGCTGTCTCTTATACACATCTAGATGTGTATAAGAGACAGGTGGTAGGTAGGTAATGACAACAAGATATGTTCC